AGGTGACTACAGGTAAAAACAGGTGACTATAGGTAACTACAGGCAACTACAGGTAACCACAGGTAACTACAGATAAACACAGATGACCGCAGGTGACTATAGGCAACTACAGATAAGCACAGGTAACTTACAGTTAACTATACATAACCACAGGTAACTACAGGTAACCACAGGTAACTTACAGGTAACTATAACCACAGGTAACTAGACATAACTACAGGTAACTACAGATAACTACAGGTGAGCAGTTGATCACAGGATCATTACTGTGTGAAAATGAGTTTAGGTAGGTAAGAGTATTTCCAGGATCTGTGGTACCTGTCTAATTCCTGGGTACTTCTCTGTCATCAGTTTGTCCATTTCGCTGTCAAAGACAATGTTGACGTGGCTCTGCAAGTGGATCCACACGTTGTACAATTTTTCAGGTAGCGTCTGTCCAACAATCCCAGAGAGAAAAATCTCATCTTCTGGATCTGCAGCCTGAAAGAAAAACATTTATCACTCTGAAAACTAACACACAGCCCGGTGTTTCTAGCGTCGCCTCACCTGTGCCTGCTCAGAACTCTTTTCTCCTGCAATGAGAGCCAGTAGTTTTCTGATGACCCCGCAGTCCTTCATCACAGCCTGCATGTTGACCGTCTGACCATTGGTGAACATCTGGTCGCCCAGTCGGTTGATGGGACGATACCTGATGTGGACAGGATGAGAGCAGTCGTTAGAAGAGCTATGGCCCTGTGTGCAGCCCATCAAAACAAACGGTGGAAGTACCTGCAGGGTGGGACCAGCAGCAGCTCCAGGAAGAACAGGTCTGGACCGAAACCTTTCTGTCCCTCGTTGGACTCCGTGGTCTCTTCCAGTCCGGGAAACAGACACTTCAGGAAGAACCCTTAATAAAATAAGATAGAACTTTATGAACAGGAAAAGACTATATCTGTTGTTCTGTCTTTAAAAAATAAACTCTGACAAAGTTCTTTTTAGTCGTTTTCCTTTGTAATCTTCCTGTGAAACAGCAAATTCAAACAAAGTGCATTAACAGATAGGAAAGACAAGAAAAGCATCCTGAAACTAAAGAGAAATCCCTGAAAATGAGCACAGATCATTAGAATAGGACCAAGTGATAACTGCAGTCAGAGCTGACGTGACTTCAGCTCTTCACCATAACAGGGTTTAAAGTAAACATGCTCTCTGAAAAGCGCAAACAACTGCTTTTAACAACACACAAGTCAACTTCAAGTAACAATGACTTAAATGACATTTCATAGTATTTTAACTTAAACAAGGTAAAATATGTGCCCCAGAGTATTGCCCTGCAGCTAAAAAAAACCCTTCAAAAACAACACATTTCAGTCAATTAATTTACAAGAAATTTAAAATAGTTGATATCACAATCTAAAAGGAAGAAGTTGCACAAAGCTGGTTTAAGGACTCCCAGCGTTCTCAATAACTTTTAGAGTAGGAGGCTGGAGTCATTTTCTAATATCAACACAAAGATGTTAGACTGGTGGGGGTCTGGGCGTCCTCCAACAGAAGACTGAATAAAGTAGATGCCATTTCCTGCATTCTGGTGCATTTTAATGGGTTGTTAAACATCTATGTTTACCTACATAAACGCTTGATTCAATAACTATTTTAGAGAGCAACAAGTAGCAGCCTGACCAACAGCTCTCCTTGTGTGATTAGAGCATGCTCTGCTTCTCTCGAGCATCCTAACCCCCCACCCTGGTCCACAACCGCCAGCTCTAACGTAGCACTAAACTAGTGCACAACACAGAAGTGTCTCCCACTCCTCCCCTGCCCCGTCGACAAAAAACCCAGAAGAGATGAGCGCCCTGCCAAGCCAAGTGACCGAGGAGAAACACTGCAAGGTTTATCGTTAGTAACCAGGAAAACCCAGAGTGGACTTTTAACGGTTTGAATATTCTCCTATTAATCAAGTGGAATGGATTCATTCACAAAGAAAAAGAAACAGCACTGGGTGAACTGATATTTAATGGTAAATGTGTGTGTGGTGGTGTCCAAACAATTTTTTTTAAATGTGAGGGGGACACGTCTCATTCTCGTCCCTTCTCATATAATTGATGTGACGCCTATGCTTACCAGCGTCACAGGCATGAAAATAATGAAGTCACAATCAGCAGCAGCTATCAATCAGTTTGTAGAGATAACATACATTTACAAGAATCTAATAAAGAATTATTTCACAGTTAATGTATCTTTATTATTTATTTTGCAGCAGTCCCAGCTGAATGCATTTAGCTCACAAACCTCAGTTTTCTGTAACTACAGACATTATCTTATTTGAATAAGATGGTTTTAACCCTTTAACTTTATTCATGTTCCTCAGGGAAAATCAACCACGTTATTTAACTGATCAAAAATACTAGTTTAAATATGGCAATTGAGGGCGTACCAAAGAGACCATCTTAGCACCAACATAACTGGTTTGTTCCACTTTGGAGTAAGCTGTTGGGGGAAGAATCAGTTTTGTGTTGTATTTCATTGACTGATGAAGCCTTCCGGATCGAAGGGGGAAATTTAACACAAAAAAAAAAAAAAAAAAAACTGTCCAGATGACCTGACTGAAAAATGTTGGATTGTATACCTGGATTATTGAGCATGGACTTTGTTGTTTTCAACCAGTTTGACACGACTAGTTTAAATACTTCCTCCACAATAAAACAATCAATAAAACCAAACTAGTGAGTCTTGTAGAGCTGTCAGCCTCAAATAAATATATCTAATTTAAATAATGATTTTTATTTTAATGCTTTAAGGTTTTTAGATTAAAACCTCTACACTACAATTTGTTTTTTAATTGACAAAGTATTTATTTTATGGTACTTTTTTTGTAAAGTGTATTTTACTCCATTAGTCAACATCCACATCTCCAGAGCTCAAAACTGATGCCTGGTTCTGTTGATCCAGTCAGAGTGGCTCTGGACCCCCTCCTCTGCAGAGTCAGACCTCCTAGTGGGGCTCGGTCAACTCTTCCTCCCTTTCCTCTTCTAAAACAAATCATGGTCATCCTCTTCATCACCCACTCACTCCTGCTGTCGCTGACTTCATCGCGCTGAACTCCACTCAACTTCTGCGTCTTTTTCTTCTTCTTCCTGTAGATATTTTGGTTCTTGACAAATAACTTGGAGCCTCCGTCAGAAAGGACAGGGGGAGGTAGTTTACCTGTTCGGCGGGGGTGGGAGGTGAAAGTGGAGGGTGATGGGGATGTTTTGTCCCTAAGACTGCTCGTCTTTGCTGCAGCCTCTCGCTCCAACGTGCATGTGACGATGACAAATCAGAAAAGATGTGGCGTGGATTATTTATCATAACTCTGATTTGACTTGGCCGATCAACAAGATTTAAAAACTGGCGTGTAGTTTCAAGTCTGTACTTTTGACCCAAATTAAAATGGAGTCACTGAGATGCTGTCTTTCCCGCTAGAGTGACTGCGACTCGGTGTGAGTCAAGTGACTCACGCACCTGCGCTTCAAATCGCTTCAAATGGGGAAAAAAAGGTCAGTCAGAGTAGGCGGTGCAATCACCACCTGTTATTGAGACGGCAGAGCACCACTTGTTTTTAATTGTGCTCTCAAGTAAAACTGTATTTTGTCCCGGTGTGACAAACTCCATCTTCTCATAGTGCATTTGATTTGACCGCGAAGCTGCATACATCCACCGCCTTGCTTTTCTACGACCCGCCTTACTGTTAGTGATTGGTCAAGACAACGTGAGCTTCGATGTGATTGGATGTAATCTCTGTCTCTCAACTAAAGTTCAGAGATGGACCGTCGCGCTCTCAAGCTGGAAATCCAGCCCCCGGCCAGAGCGCTTTAAGTCATACAGTAAACATTTTAAACTTCAGCTCTTCTCATAGAACCTCGCCTCAGCTTTAAACGCTCTGCTTACCTTCCTTCTCCCACACTTTGGTGATGTGTTCTTGGGCTGTGCTGGCCGTCAGGAAGATTCTCTTCCCAGACACCAGATCTGCAACAGAAGCTCTGGTTACTGCATGTAGAAAACATCTTCCAACAGCAAGTTAATGTAAAGATCAGGCGTCAACAGAACAACAGGCCCAATCTGTTCTGTCCTGGATTTTCAGATTGACGGGTCCAAAGCCCTTTAAACTTGACTAGAACAGATCAGTTCAGACCACATTTACAGGTACCAGACCAGACCACCGCAGCTGCATTTCTAGAGCACTCTGAGCGACCACAGAACCAAAGTTCTGCTCAGTTACAGCTCATAAAACAAGAGAGCAGAGCTGTTTCCATAGTTTCTGTAGTCTGAACTAGGGATACACGATATCGGCTGATATTAGCAATAAAGTTAAATATCGGACATCGGCCATTCCATCAAAAATAACAGATATAAAAGGCTTCTGTTTCAAGTTATTTTTTAATTTAAGAAACTTTCAAGTATATCTATTAATGCACTGATACCAGTACTTACGCGCTTTTCATTTGTCACTTGTGAAAAGGTTGAGTTTAGATTTGTGAAAATTTACAAATTTGCAAGGTTTGAGTGTTGTCACAGTGTTAGAGAAATTAAATGTCACAAATAAATTTGACATTAAACATAATCCAAGTTGAAGTGTTTCATCTAGGGGTGCACCGATAAATCGGCCCCGATTTCCTTAATTTTGGGAAATCGGCTGATACTTGCACGAAAAACCGATTTTACCAATTTTTTTTAGTTTTAACAACAATTGTCTGAACTTTGTTTACATTTCCGAGCACTACCTCATGGCCAGTTAAAACAAGTTGATATTGTTTTTATGATATTGTTCAAGGGTATGTTTTTCAACAAAATTATATTAGAAAATTGAAGGTGCATTGTGACCTTTTGACACCTGACAGCGTCGCTTATAAAACAAAATCAGTATCGGCAGGTCGGGCTTTTTAGAAATTGGTGATCGGCCAGAAAACTGCAATCGGTGCACCCCTAGCTTCATCATTTTAAGCCTCTTTTTCAGCATCTGCATTTGGTAGCAGGCCAAACTGACAAAGACCATGCAGAATAATGTAGTATTTTAATTCCACTGCAGAGAAAGCTATGTAGTTTCTGTAGGTAGGTCTAGGAAGAAAATATCGATACTGGCATTGGTTATCGGCCAAATAAGTTTTAACATATCGGCCAAAAATCCAATATTGTTCATCCCTAGTCTGAACGCAAACTGCCCTGTTTGAAACTGCCTTCATCACATTTAAGAGCAGATATCCTGATGCATGCTCAATAATCCAGGTAGAAAAATCTAAAAAAGTTAAATCTGGTCCTCTGGACATTCGTTTTGTTTTTTTGAATGTCCAGAGGACCAGATTTAACTTTTTTAGATTTAAGAGCAGAGTTAGAGACACTTTAGCTCTTCTAGTTAAAAAAGGCTCAGCACATGATAAATCTCTCTCACTGCTTTTTACACCAGAGTTTAAACAGGACCATCTCATGTTGACAAAAGTTAACTGTGTTAAGCACAGTCTAATGTGTTAGCTCTCAGAGTGTCTGTTAGGGATGACTCTCAGCTACTACAGCACCTCATTTAAGTTCAGGAAGTATAAAATTCAGTGAGTTACATAAATCTGTGTTCTGTGTAACTCAGGTTTTGAATTTGATAAGTACTGAACACATGTTTGACATGTTACCGTGGGCGCCCCGCCCCGTGTACCAGCTCAGGATGTGCAGGATTTCACTAACTAAATACATTTTACAACTTTTAATTTATTGTTATCCATAATAAAAGTGTTATAAAGTACATTTAAACAGCTTGTTCTTGGAGTTTTAAAAACGTCATTACTGCAGAAATACTGGACCTTATTTGAAACAGTTAATCTCAGTGACTTTTTTAAATTTGTCGGTTTCAGCATGTTTTAAAAGAAATAAAGCTTCAAAACATCGGATTTCTTTAAACTGCTAGTTATGTGAGGCTGGAACAGTCCCAGATTTAAACATGACAGTTTGGAACAGGACTCACCGTTTGGTTTGGTTTGTGTTCCTGATGGCAAGGTGACAATGAGCTTACTGTTGTGTTCACGTCGCACTGTACACCTGCCCCCCCTACACACACACACACACACACAGTTACAATGGCACACCTGGAGCTGATGTTAAAACTGTCTCAGGTGAGGTGTTTACCTGCAGTAAGGACACTTCCTGATCTTCATTTGATTCTTCCAGAAGTCACTGATCAGGCTGCTCTTCTTCTCAACCAGGTGTTTAATCTGACAAACAAAATCAACCCTCTGTAGTCTGACACTTTAGCCGTGTATCCAGGAAGAACACGTGGTGCACCTGCAACTGAGTGTTGGAGTGTTAAGACTCACGGGTCTGGAGTTTTCTGGACGTTCAGTGTTTGCTCCAACTATCCTGTCTGTAAACCCGTTCAGCACTTCTTTAATCTCATCTCCTGTGGTTTTTGGGTTCTCCTCCAGGTGCTGAGACACACAAACACTTCCAGAGTTAACAACAACCATAAACAACTCTTCCTACGTCTGATCCAAAGTTCTGTTCTGTCAAGGCTTTATACCGCATCACTCTAGTCAGAGTTTCCCCGAGGTCACTTCTCTTCTGTGATTTTTGTCAACCGGGGTGGGGGATGTGGGGGTGGGAGGATTGGGGTGGAGACACATCTGTGTTGCTGGCAGTTGTCAACCAGGGGGGCTGCATGCGAGGTGGAGCGCTACATCTGTTTTTAGCTAGCACATCTGTATTGTACGGTACAAGCTTAGCGCAACGCCACTGCCAGCAGATGTCGACAGGGGGGTTGAGTGAAGGACATTTTGGTCGGCAGGGCACTCGGTTCTGTTGACAGGGCGGGGCGCCCTCCTTGGATAACAGTTGGGGAAACACTGCTAGTAGTACTATTAAGGTTGGGCAATGAGTCTCGAGAATCAATTGGAACTGGGACTAACATTACGATTCTCCCTGAATTGTTCAAATTTTTTATTTTCGATGCACAGTCCGACTGGAAGAAGCCGCCGCCGAACACCAACGAAGAAGAATCCGCAAGAAGTGTTTGCATACATGGAGTGAGTGACTGCGATCGAAAGTGTGGTTTAACTTTAATAAATGAAATGACCAGTCGGCTCAGTGCAGCACTTACAATAATTTTATATCGTGCAAAGGAAGGTGCACGTCTAACGCTTCCGGGTTCATGGTGTAGAAGTAACAGAGTGGCCCATCTTTGACGCGCTGAACCAGCGTATTTTCGCTGCGTCCTCCTTCGGCTCAGACCCTCAGAATCAGGTAAATAAAACTATAAACTACGTCTCATACCAACATTAAGGCAGCTAACAAGTTATCTATCCATCCATCCATCCATTTTCTTCCGCTTATCCGGGGTCGGGTCGCGGGGGTAGCGACCTAAGTAGGGAGGCCCAGACTTCCCTCTCCCCAGCCACTTGGGCCAGCTCTTCCGGGGGAATCCTGAGGCGTTCCCAGGCCAGCCGAAAAACATAGTCCCTCCAGCGTGCCCTGGGTCTCCTCCCGGTGGGACGTGTCCGGAACACCTCACCAGGGAGGCGTCCAGGAGGCATTCTAAACAGATGCCCGAGCCACCTCAACTGGCTCCTCTCGACGTGGAGAAGCAGCGGCTCTACTCTGAGTCCCTCCTGGATGATCGAGCTTCTCACCCTGTCTCTAAGGGAGAGCCCAGACACCCTGCGGAGAAAACACATTTTGGCCGCTTGTATTCGAGAGCTCGTTCTTTCGGTCACAACCCAAAGCTCATGACCATAGATGAGGGTAGGACCTCCTCCCTAACCCAGAGAGGGCACTCTACCCTTTTCCAGCTCAAGACCATGGCCTCGGATTTGGAGGAACTGATCTTCATCCCGGCCGCGTCGCACTCGGCTGCAAATTGCTCCAGCGAAAGCTGTAGATCACAATCTGATGAAGCCAATAGGACCACATCATCTGCAAAAAGCAGAGAAGCAATCCTAAGGCCACCAAAACGGAGCTCCTCAACACCTTGGCTGCACCTAGAAATTCTGTCCAAAAAAGTTATGAACAGAATTGGTGACAAAGGGCAACCTTGGCGGAGTCCAACTCTCACCGGAAACAAGCCCGACTTGCTGCCGGCAATGCGGACTAGACTCTGATGGATGACGTTGTCTGGCAGCAGATCCAGAGAAAGCTGACTGAGCAGGTGAAATGTCATTCATGCACAACTGTCCTTTTTTTTGCTATTAAAATCTGAAATCTAAATACTAGTAATGTTCTTTGTGGTCAACAGAGGAAGACTGTGGAGATGATAGGGTCACCATGCAGTCTGAGGAAAGGCCTGAGAATGAGGGAGTAGAGGAAGAGGAGGAGAGTGTAAGTGTGTGATAGATGAAATTATATACATACATTCTCAATCTTAATAATGATCATGCCTTTAATAATCCCTCTTTACTGATAATACTGATGAACCTATTGGTTGTTTAGGAACCGTCTCCCTGCAGTCTGTCCAGAAAGTCTCCACTGGAGGAGCTTTTTGCTGAGGAAGAGGCACAACATAATGTATCAGCTTCATGTCCATGAAGAAATAAGTGGAGAGAGGGCTGCAGCTGTACCAGGACATTCCACCAGCCATTCTGTCTGAGGATCCTGCTGATGCTGGTGGAACCAACACAAGACTTATCCTTTGCTGTCAGATCGTGCTTTCTCATATTTATGTGTTCAAGCTTCTTCTACACCTTCAAACATGTGTTCTCCACTGCAGGAGACACTGTCTGTCCAGAACGCTCACACATACTGTTCGAGAAGCAGATATGATCATTTTCCTCAACAAGAACCATTTCTGATTTTATACTGTACTTGCTGGTAATCTGGACTGGGTTGTACAAGTTGTTCTTTTTTATAATAATAATTTTGTTTGATATTCTGCAGCAGGTTAGCCCATCAGTGGAATCTCGGTAACATGACTGCAGCATCAGACACTGGACATTTGGAAATGTGTTTCCATGAGGTTATTAAACATAAAGCTCTCTTGTGAAAGTTTATCCCTATGAAAAGAAAATTCATAACATATTGAAGTTCATAAGTTTGATATTTATATACCGATTGAAAATAACCCTGTGAGAAATTCATAGTAAAGTTAACAAAAAGTTCATAAAATTAAAATTCAGAGTTCAAATTATTTCATCCAAAAAGATCTCCGGCTAACTACTGTAGCTCATTTATATAACGTGACCTTTTTAGAACCCTGGCTCTAAAACGAATCTGAATCAAGAATCGATAGGAACTGGAATTGAAACGAGGAATTAAAACTGGAATCGTTCAAACTCAAAGATGCCCAACCCTAAATACTATGTGACAGTACTTATGTTATAATAATTAACATTGTTTTGGTCCTCGCTAAGAATGCCCAGCAGTAACAATAAGTTAAATTAAAGCTTGGAATGTTAAATAGATGTTATAAGACTGCTGAAGGAGCGCAGGCTTCCCTGTGAGTAATTTCAGCACACAGGGTGGACTTACCTGGTTCAGAATGTGTTCGATTTGATAGACTTCCTGCATGGCTCCGTGGTCCACTAACCTGAGCTGGTTCAGCAGCAGGTAGATGGCAGCTCGAGTGCACGTCAACATGTGACATGACAGACAGGAACCACGGATCAACAAGTAGAGCTTCTGTTGGAGACAAGCACAACAAACGCAGCTCATTAACCAGCAGACTCACTGCAGAGGAAACTGTAAAACAAAGTGTCTGTTTTCCAGCGTCTGAGTCAAATGAAGGAGACAAATCTCATTCTGAGTTGAACCTTCAGCCTGGAGAGCTCCAGCTGCCTCCATTAAAACAAACATTTAGTTCAAAACAATGCTGTGTGTTGAGTAGCTTAAATTACATGTTCCTGTGAGAAACTGTAACTGGAGGAGGACGCAGAGTTTCAGAATCCGTGTCCAGGTCGACATGTGCTCACTGTAAACTGACTGATCAACATGTGGAAAAGATTTACAACAACTTATATTCTCTATTGTCATGATTTACAGCCTTCTCATTAACTTAGAGGTGGAGGCTAACAGCTCAAAGTAGGAGGTTGGATTAATTTAAACACAAATGTTCTGTTTGGTGAAAATGTTGGTGAAAGCAGACTGTTTGAATGCTGATCACTGATGAAAATGTTTTACCAGCATCACAGATGTAGCGATATGGGGCTGGATATATATTGTTAATTATAAGTTATGAGTTAAGCTCATAAGATATGCATGTATTATGCAAATAACCTTGTTGTGTGGGCACCACCTCTCTCTTGGAGAGGAAAAATCAGTCTCTATTTAACCCAAATCAATATAAACTGAAACATGAGTTCTTTTCTCATGTTTAAAGAATATCTAATCAAGTAATACACACAGATATGCCAAAATAATCACAAATTCAGTTGATTTTATGTATTTTATTATAAAAATAATAATCTGTTATATATATATATATATATGATGAAAGATATGCATGACAAAAGTTAACTGAATATCAAATTGCTTTGAATCAAAGGTCTAATTGATTATTCAAATTAGTGAAACTTAAAAGGCAGATTTAGGACTGGTTTCTGTTTGTGAAGTGGTTAAAATGGTCTAAGGTGAGCTAAGTTTGTCTGATAAATTGTGATGTAGGGTCACCAGAAAGGCATTGAAAAGTCTCTCCTACCAGGAAGTAGAGCGTCAGAGCATGGTTCCGACAGCTGCTTAAATGGTGCCAGCCTCAGACATTCCGGTGACTGAGAGGCTGAAGTCTCCTCAAAGTTCACCTGTCATCGTTAGAGGGACGAGGGTCCATATGGTCGTCAGCTGGGATTTACCACTCTGCTGTGTGATGGTTGCCTGGTAGACAGCTCTCGGGTTAATGCCTGGTTCTGGTTAAGCTGGGTTTTTTCTGTATCTTTTGTCCCGTCTCTGCTCAAAGTCATCTGCAGAAAGGATGCTTCTCTCCTTTCTGACGTCCAGTGCAGAAGCTGGGTTTCTTATCTCTCCAGTTCTCTGTTGAAGTGTGTCTCTGTGGAGTTTTTCTCAAAAGCTCCAGTGTAGTGAAGGCTTCGGAGCGTCTCCAAAATGTTGGTTACATACTGTAACCCCAGATTCTATGAGCATAGGCGTAGCCCTTTAAGGCTGTCGCTGATGGGTTTATCCTGTTATGCGATGCATCACACTGAAAAAATTTAGTCCACGCCCACCTGCTGTGTGGGCCCCACCCGATCCGTATAAGTTACGTTAAGAGCGGGTAATCGGCTCCCAAATAGCTTTATTTTTTCTTCAGCCATTCAGGAGCCAGTGAGGCCCGACGCTTAAAGGGCTACGCCTATACTCATAGGATCTGGGGTTACAGTACGTAACCAACATTCTATTTCGTATAGGCTTCGCCCTTTAAGGCTGTCACTGATGGGTTAAGGGCGAAGCGGATGTGGTCCTCGCCTTACTGGGTCCATTCGAACACCGTATGAGACAGACGCATGCCCACAAAAACGTCTTGTCACTCAGCTCCCCATGTGCATAATTACGCATTGCGTAGTTATGTGTGCCATGCACAGACGAATGTTTTGTAACTATGCGTTCTGAAAAACATGAACACCCCAGAAAATTTCAACGGGGAGGGAAGATGTTGAAAAAGGGGGGGGGGGGGGCATGAACCAACTGATTCATGGCTGAACAGTATAAACAGATTAATAATAACAAGTGAACTGATTATTAATCAAATGAACTGATTGGTAACAATAGTCCTGAACTGATTAGTGACAATAGAACCAAAATAACAGACACAACTTGTGACTAATAAAAACATCTCACAATGTGAAGCATGCAGACAGATGTGAGCTTAAACAGAGTTCCATGAAAACAACAATATTCATTCTGTTAGAGCATTAAGGACAGAATGTGTCATGGAACGAACTGTCACATCACACAGATAAAAGCGAATGAATGAGCAGGGTGTTGACCATGCGGCCGCAGTGCAAATATCCTACATTGACATACCATTATGCCAGGCAGTCGAAGATGCGATACCCCTGGTCGAGTGTGCTCTGAGGTTGACAGGAGGCTCTAAATCTGATGCTCTGTAGGCTTCAGAAAAAGGCCTCACACAGCCAGTGTGACAAGCGCTGGGTGGATAACGGGCGACCTGCAGATGCATCTCTATAATGCACAAACAAATGTTGAGTTTGACGCATTACAGCTGTGCGCGCTATGTAACACGTCAACGCTCGCACAGGACAGAGAAGATGGAAAGATGTTTCTTCTTCTGATTGTGGGGGGGAGGGGAAAACCCCTCCAACGATATCACTCTTGATTTAAAAGAGCTCGTGATGTTTTAGGCATAAAGCTGGATTTGGTCTTAGATCAACTGAGCTGCCATCAGCCTGACTTCTAAGACAGCGACAGAGAGGGCAGATAAATCTCTCACCCTCTTAGCGGATGTTAAAGCCAGCAGCAGGGCTGTTTTAAGAGACAAGAATTTAATTGGAACCTGATTCAGTAGCTCAGATGGAACTTAGATCGGGGCTCGCAGGACCAGCGTTAAATCCTACTGTGGAGCAAGTGGGCGTAAAAACAGGCCTGCATCTCTGTACACCTTTTAAAAAACGCTTCATCAAGAGATGATTAAAAGCTGTTCTGTCCCCGAAACCTTTGTGACAGGAAGAGATGGCTGCAGCGTACGTTTTAATCGTGCTGAACGCCAGATTTCTGTCCATCTGCTGCTGCAGAAAGGACAGCATGCCACCTAGTGGACATGAGGTGGCCTCTACACCTTTCTCTGTACAGCAGCGCTGAAAAGCTGTCCACTTTGATGTGAACAGCGCTGTGGTGGATGTAGCGCGTGAATCCTGGATCGTACACACTACATCTTGAGAGAGACCCGTCCTCTCTAAGTGGACCCGCTCAGCGGCCAGACCCAAAGGTGCTGGCCTAATTCTGGGAAATTCCTGATCGCTCCTCCCGCCTGGAGGAGAGCGTCCTCCCTCCACGGCAGTTTCCACGGGCGCCCTGATAACAGGTGTCGTAGAACTGGGAACCATGATGCGTTCACGCGCTCGGGACAGGAGAGCTGTCAGTCCCTCCTCCTGAACTCGGTTCAGAAACCGTGATATCAGAGGGAGTGAGGGAAAAGCGTAAGAAGCATTTTGGGCCACAGACTGTGAGCAAACACGTCCACCCCTAGCGGTGGTTCGTCCCGTGGACTCAGTGAGAACCATAGTTGACATTGAGCATTCTCTCATGTTGCAAACAGGACCACAGCCGCTCGCAAGATTTCTGACGCATCTGAGCTGTCAGCTCTGGATGGAGGGTCCCAGTCCCCATGACGCAAAACGTCCCTGGAGATCACATCCGCCCCCTGTTCAGAACACAGGGGATGTACACTGCTCTGATGGAGAGCAGATTTTGGTGTGCCCAACACAGCAGCTGTCTCTCAAAGTAGGACATTTGGGCTGAGCGTGCACCCCCCTTGCCGGTTATGTATGCAACAGTCACCTGCTGTCTGTGTGAATCAAAGAATGATGATTCCGCAGCATAAAGGCAAAATGTTGAATCAAATTCAAAAACCGTGCGACACTCCAAAAACATTTATATGAGCTGCTGTGTGGGGGACCACAACGCCCCCACAGCTCAAGAAATGTATGTGCCTCTGAGAAGTCTGACAAGTGTGACGTAGGTCTGCTGACGGAAAACAGCTGATATCACTCTGCCGGTTTCACGTGAGTTGCACTGCTGCCACCTGTCTGTAAAAACGGGTCAGCAGCAACAATGTCCAGATAAAGCAGAATTCTCCTCCCTGCTCTGTGTGGTGGCTGCAGAGCGGCTCGATGCATTTTAAATGGAAATGATGTCTCACAGTTCAAAATTGACAAATCTAAGATGAATCTCATCCTTCTGGTCCGTTTGGGACCAGGAAGTGACGAGAGTGGAACCCTGTGTTTTCCTCTCCTTCTGGGACCCTGGAAATTACATTTTTAATCAGAATTTCCTGAGCTTCTGCGAGGGGGGACGAAATCTGTTCTAGAGATGACAGAAAACGTCTCCAGAGTTCCTCCGAACGGGGGGTTTGAGCTGTACTGCAGCGTGAATCCCCTGCTGATAACTGTTCATCCATCCGCCTGGAGCGTGCGCTCGTTGCCACTCCGTGTAACGTCCCGAAAGCGGGCACACATTTATGCTGCGTCACGTTATCTACGGACGCCAAACACCGCCGTCATGTGTGCCTCACTCAGGTTGCGGGCTCACACCTTTGGCGTGCGCTGAGGGAAAAATGCGCGCCCCCCGAACAGGCAGAAACGCTGGGGCTGCTGCGGGTGCACGGCGTACTATGCCGTACACTGGCTGTGGGCTCACATCCATGCTGATGTGAGCTGGTGCGCGCTTAGGGAGAAAAAACGCGTGCCCCCGAGGATGTGGGCCGTGTGCGGGCTGCCGATGCTGCGGGGTGCGGCGCCTCTGTGCTGCGCTCACGCTGGGGAAAGGTGCGCGCCCCTGAGCATGCGGAACCGGTTAGGGTTGCTGCGGGTGCCGCGCTCAGGCTGCGGGCTCATATCCGTGCTGCCACTCCGCGTAACGCTCGGGGAGCGGGTGCGTGTTTACGTGATGCACAATGTCTCACCGCCTCCACCGCTGTCATGCGTCGCGGAGACGTGCTCCGCACACTCATG